TGGACTGTGTTGTTTAGGGACTAAACAGAGGTAACTGAAATTTGTGCATATCAGAACAATGCAGGACTGCCTGTAGTATACAAAAGGAATGAGAGTATAGATGGCAGCTAAACTTCTGGCAGTTTTGAGTCCTTAATTACAATCAAGTACAAGTACATCAGTATTAAGGTGTTAACCAGTTCTTCTTTTCATCTTACTAAGAACTTTGTTTTGTTTAAAATGCAAAAATTGCAACTTATCAAAGAGCTGTCTTAAAAACTGGTTGGAAATACAGCCAAATATTTTGGGGTATATATTTTGGTAATGTAGCCTAAAAAAATGAAAATTTTCTAAGCCAGAGAGGGAAAATATTTGGAAGCACCCACAATTACTTATTTTAAACATTCCCATTTGCATTTAACGACATAAATATTACCTTGGCTATGAAATAGTCCCAGATGCTGAGCTCAGGTGGGATGAACTTCTCTTTGACTGTCAGTGACTCCTGGTTTACTGGTGTTGAGGAAGAGGTCGGTGGGGCAGATTCTTTGCAAGACATTTTTGATGGCCTAAAACGTCTGTTCTGTTTCTCTCCTTCTTCCACTAGTGAAGAAACTAATAAGAACAAAGTAAAGTATTATTAAATAAGTACTATTTTTATTGTACTCATTTTACCTATTTTTACATAAGATCTAAGGTTAACTACGAATTAGTACACTCAAAAAACTAAGATCCTTACCGATAGCAAGGTAAGAAAATAGATAGAGAGGAAGGGAGACAAAAATCACCTTGTATAGCAATCTCTGATTTATTTCAACTTGTCCCTCACTCTCTGAATGTTGATTTATCTATTGTATATGTAGGTAATACGATGTAATATAATATCCACTTATATAAATGAGCTCAAAATTTAGCTAAGACCATGACAGGAAATTATCTACATGATTCTATTGTTTTTAAAGAATGTTATGGGGTAAAAAAATATCATGGGATGTCAATGTTAATTAAAGACAACAACTCACTTATGCGTCTTCAGTAATCAATTGGCCTTTTATCTACATATAAAACTACATTTTCACTGAAAATATAAAAAAAAATCAAAGACAGAACTTCATAATTAAACTGATTCAGACTTTTAGAAATGGTTTGAAGATGGAATTTTCTAATCAATGGAATTACAAAGAAGGGCTAGAAAATGTAA